TCTCAATTCTGGGGTCAGTGTGTGTTCCTGGATTTTGAAATTTTCAGATTGGTAAAACCATCCTGTCATCCAGATTGTTGCTATTAAGACATCCTGAAGTCCTACAAAATCAAATTTTAAATTTGATTTTGTAGTGCACTGTGTTTGGTAAATTCTCTCAATAGTATAGGATATTTATAGACACTTCAGCAGTCCTTCCCAAAATCTTTTTTAGATGTTTTTATAAAGAGGAAAGATACCCCAGGCCCTCAGAGGAAGCCCCTCCCCGTCCCCTCCCCACCTGCTCCTGGGGCTGCAGCCCCTGCTGGGTGGGTCCTGAGCGCCCCCTGCAGCCCAGCCGGCCCAGTCCAGCTCTCACTACATGAGATTTCCAGGGTCATTCAGAGGAGGAAACTTTTGGGGCTCATGGCAGGCCTCCCCAAAATATCCCATAATGGTGTATAACTATTTAGAATGTGTTACTTAAAGAGCAGCCAGAGCAGGAAAAGCAGGTGGGCCCCTCATTGTGTCCTTGAAAAAAGCAAATAATCTCCTTTGTGTAAGGGACTGTCCTTGCTCCTAAGGGGGTCTCATAAGGTATCAAAGCCTCAGCTTGCAAAGACAGTGACTATGACCTTGCATGGTGAAAGGGATTATTGAAAATGTGATACATTAAAACCTTCCGATGGAGAGAGTGGGTGGACTTCAGCATGGACACTGATGCCCACATACTGTCCTTGGAACAGCAACTTTGAGGGAAATTCTGCCCCAGGGAAGAAAGCCACACGCGGCTGGATGGGACGTGTAGGGACCTGCCATGAGCCCCAAATGCAAGGGACGCAGGTCTGATGATGGAATGGCCCCTGCAGCCCCTGGGAGACGCACGGCCCTGGGGACACCGTGATTTAGACCCAGTTCAGCTCTTTTCCTGACCAGTAAGAGGATAAGTCTGCCTTTCAAACCTGAGTTGTGTTTTTGACAGTTTCCAGAGACACCAACGTGCAGGGTCTACACAACCACACATGACTGTGGACACCTGCATTCTCTAATGACTATTTTGGGACAGGGACATCTCAGGGCTTCTGTGTCCTCTTGTCCTCCATTCTGCTTACCGTTGTGACTCTTAGACTGTGATGCAGTTTATCTTCTCTGACCACAGAGAGGGAGCCGCCTGCTCCTGCTCAAAGGAGAAGGTTCTGTCTGTTGGGAGCCAGCTACACCTCCATATCTGACATGGCCAAGCGCACTGCAATTGTGACAACTTCTGAAGCTCTGACTGAGAAACAGATACTGCTTTATACCTTAAAATATTTAAATTCCCCTTCTGATAGATATATCACAATAATTCTATTTTATACACTAAAGGCAATTTTAGTCACACTACTGGTCTTTTAGTAAAGGTCAAAATACACACCCTGTAAATCTTAAGATCCTGCTTAGACAATGTTTTTTAGAATAACTGTTGGGTGTTCATGGTAACCATCCTTTGGGCGATTATGTAAAGGTTCTGGCCTTGGTCACATAGTCATTGTAGGTGGAGGGATTTGGGTGTAGTTGGGATAAGTTAGTCTTTAGCATAGAAAAGGTCTAGCTGTACCCTGGAGCATAAGAATTATGAGGAAGTAAAACCCTGATACTAATGGAACAATGGTTAATCTGCCCGGTATAAAAAGGGGCATGCTGTAAAATAAAGTGAGACACTTCTTGAAAAAGTGCCTCTGTGTCTCCGCACGTTTTTTCCTTTTTCCCCGCTGACTTCGCCTCCACCTGAGGGAATCCCTGGACCTGCGGGAGCTGTTCTCCTGCATCTGGCATCTTGTGAGGACTCAGTTCAGGGACGTCATGTTCCAATTCACCACCAAGGTGATATTTACACCATGAAAAGAGGAAAACACTACAGAATGTTTATTTCTTTTTCTCCTTCTGGGAGTTGCTTTGCCAACACAGAACTGAAAATATTTCACAGAAAATTAATGAAAGCAGTTCCTTTGTCTCTATATTTATATCCCTGAGTCAAAGAAAGGCTGTGCCCAGCTGCCCCTGTCACCTCCTCAACCCTGCACAGCTGTCCTCTCCCTCAGGGTTTCTGACACTCTCAGGATGTGGCTCATCACAATGTGTGTCTCGCACAGTAATACACGGCCGTGTCCTCAGATCTCAGGCTGCTCAGCTCCATGTAGGCTGTGCTGGTGGACGTG